AAAAAATGGCAGCAGACAGTTATCAGGAGCGCATCAAAGAAACTGTTAAACCAAATACGAAAGACATACCGGTACCAATGATGGCTAGAACGAGTAAGAAATCCTATGAGCAAATTACTACTCCGAGTGGCAATCAGTCGTGTAGCGAAAAAGAGGCAGCAAAAAGTACCACTGCCAATGCTGCTGGCGGTGCAGTGCCATTTGTGCTGATGGTACGTGGTGGAAAGGGAGGCAAACAACAATTTAAACAATTTGTGGCACCATCCGATTCGCAATTGGCCATTAACCTGAAGCTGCAGGAAGAGAAGACACGAGAAGAGAAGGAAAAGGTAAAGCGTTTAACGCTAAACATAACCGAACGTATAGAAGAAGAGGACTATCAGGTATGCGTGTGTAAATAAAGTGTAATGAATATAGAATTATTCAGATTTTCTTTTGAAAATAGGAATCTTTGATGCAATCACAACGCAGCTTGTCGCAGAACCATTATCAACGCCCGAGCAAGCCAAAATTCCGACATCAAAAGGGTGCACCAGATGCAGATTTGATTTTCAATTAAACGCGTATTGGGGCACTCAAATGGATATCTTTCGTTCCGATATATGCAGGGTTAAAATACTGGCCGCACACTGACATCGCAAACCCATGCATTTGCAGTTGGCTCGCACAAAAAGTTGTTAAGTTGTGAGTGAAAATGACGAAGCTATGTGCAAGTTGAAGTTGAAGAAGTTATATGTATGTGTCTGTATGGTTTGCGTGGGGTCATCACCATTGAAGATGATAATTAAAAGGAGTACATTTAAAGTAACAACTGAAAAAGGAAATAAGTTATTTTTGGATTCGTTAAAAATGTAATGCAGTAAAATTTACTGAATAAACTATAATAATTAGAACAAAAGGTCATTTGAATTTCTACAGGGACAAAAAATAACTGATATTTTTTTGTTTATTTCTTAAAACTTTGAATCATTACGAAACCGTTACTTCAACCTTCAGCAACATTCCCCGAAACTGGATGATGCTCAGCAATGTGCCCATGTGATGTACTGTGGTGAGAGACTGTCTTAATGTGGCTAGGGCGTTCTCGATACCCAAGCCATTGCCCCATCGTACTATCATGATGTACATCCATTTCAGGATCTTGATGGTGACATCTAAGCAGGCAGCACCTTAAGGAATTCCTTTACCCACAAAAATTTAAATTTCACTTTTTTAACTTAATTAGAATTTATTAATATCAAAATAAAAACACACTAAACAAAAAACTGTCGATCTTACATTTTTCTAATACGTACATATTAAATAGCAAAAAAGTGTATCAACTACGATTTTACTTATTAAGCTTGGTACCGCTTGTGGTTAATGTTACTTGTATTGATCAGTACAAAATTAATAGTAAAAGTTGAATATAAATACATAATTATGTCGTCAAAACAGTAAAAAGAAAATAATACATTAAAACTGTTCATCAGCTTAAAGTTAAATACAAGCGAAATTACAAAATGAATTTTCAAGGCTCTTGACTATTATAATTTTCCTAGTTGCGAGGCTTCGCAAAATTAACAAAAAAAAGAGTCCGTTACCTCTTGAACTAAGGAGCGAAATTTTCAATGGTAGCGAAACATTTATGTATTTTTAACGATTTAGTAAAGTTTTATAAAAAATTCTCTACTCATTTGGACTTATTGCAATTTTGTTTGGTTCATATGTTTTTTTTTATTTTACGAAGTGTCAATTTGGCGTAATTGGGGCAGCTACCGACTCACCTGTAGCGGTATGTAATTCAACGTACATACATATATAATATACTTATGAACTAAGTTAATATTAATCTTTTTAGAAAAAATAAGTCAGCAAACGACTATTTTTTTTTTTTTTTGAAAGTACATTCGTTTTCTCATTTGTTCTGAATTGTCGGTATGATGAAGAATTCTTCTTGATTTTTTCTATGGACTTTTCTGATAATAAATTACATGTATGTTTAAAATTACTTTAGAAATTTGTAAATCTTTTTACTTTAAGTAAAAACATGTTTAGTAGGCACGCTCGTAGTAATAATTTTAGGCAATATCATCGTTACAAAATGTATTATGAAACATTAACTCGTTTTGTGCTTCGTTAACAATTTCATGAATTTTCGTTTATGTGTGCGAATTCTTTTTGTTGCAAACAGGCAATGCGTGCATATGTGGCTTTCAAAGTTTATAATTTGTATGCATGTGTTTTGTTTACTGTATTTGATATATGAAATCGGAATAGGTAAATTGTAGAGTATAAAACTTGTTTTTTTCCAAAAAAGTTCACTGTAAGTGCATAAGTATGTCTATTTCCAAGGCACATTCATTATTTGTTGTTAAGTCTCTTTCATTTAAATTTGTGAATATGTATATATTAATGGCAGTATACTGTTCAGAAAATACCTTCACTACACATGCTAAAGCACACAACATTTATGCGCACCTAAATGTGTGTATTTAAGTGCACGTAAATGTTGTGTGCTTTAGCATGTGTAGTGAAGGTATTTTCTGAACAGTATACTGCCATTAATATATACATATTCACAAATTTAAATGAAAGAGACTTAACAACAAATAATGAATGTGCCTTGGAAATAGACATACTTATGCACCTACAGTGAAATTTAAAAAAAAAAAAACAAGTTTTATACTCTACAATTTACCTATTCCGATGACATATATCAAATACAGTAAGCAAAACACATGCATACAAATTATAAACTTTGAAAGCCACATATGCACGCATTGCCTGTTTGCAACAAAAAGAATTCGCACACATAAACGGAAATCCATGAAATTGTTAACGAAGCACAAAACGAGTTAATGTTTCATAATACATTTTGTAACGATGATATTGGCTAAAATTATTACTACGAGCGTGCCTACTAAACATGTTTTTACTTAAAGTGAAAAGATTTACATATTTCTAAAGTAATTTTATACATACATGTAATTTATTATCAGAAAAGTCCATAGAAAAAATCAAGAAGAATTCTTCATCATACCGACAATTCAGAACAAATGAGAAAACGAATGTACTTTCAAAAAAAAAAAAAAATAGTCGTTTGCTGACTTATTTTTTCTAAAAAGATTAATATTAACTTAGTTCATAAGTATATTATATATGTATGTACGTTGAATTACATACCGCTACAGGTGAGTCGGTAGCTGCCCCAATTACGCCAAATTGACACTTCGTAAAATAAAAAAAAACATATGAACCAAACAAAATTGCAATAAGTCCAAATGAGTAGAGAATTTTTTATAAAACTTTACTAAATCGTTAAAAATACATAAATGTTTCGCTACCATTGAAAATTTCGCTCCTTAGTTCAAGAGGTAACGGACTCTTTTTTTTGTTAATTTTGCGAAGCCTCGCAACTAGGAAAATTATAATAGTCAAGAGCCTTGAAAATTCATTTTGTAATTTCGCTTGTATTTAACTTTAAGCTGATGAACAGTTTTAATGTATTATTTTCTTTTTACTGTTTTGACGACATAATTATGTATTTATATTCAACTTTTACTATTAATTTTGTACTGATCAATACAAGTAACATTAACCACAAGCGGTACCAAGCTTAATAAGTAAAATCGTAGTTGATACACTTTTTTGCTATTTAATATGTACGTATTAGAAAAATGTAAGATCGACAGTTTTTTGTTTAGTGTGTTTTTATTTTGATATTAATAAATTCTAATTAAGTTAAAAAAGTGAAATTTAAATTTTTGTGGGTAAAGGAATTCCTTAAGGTGCTGCCTGCTTAGATGTCACCATCAAGATCCTGAAATGGATGTACATCATGATAGTACGATGGGGCAATGGCTTGGGTATCGAGAACGCCCTAGCCACATTAAGACAGTCTCTCACCACAGTACATCACATGGGCACATTGCTGAGCATCATCCAGTTTCGGGGAATGTTGCTGAAGGTTGAAGTAACGGTTTCGTAATGATTCAAAGTTTTAAGAAATAAACAAAAAAATATCAGTTATTTTTTGTCCCTGTAGAAATTCAAATGACCTTTTGTTCTAATTATTATAGTTTATTCAGTAAATTTTACTGCATTACATTTTTAACGAATCCAAAAATAACTTATTTCCTTTTTCAGTTGTTACTTTAAATGTACTCCTTTTAATTATCATCTTCAATGGTGATGACCCCACGCAAACCATACAGACACATACATATAACTTCTTCAACTTCAACTTGCACATAGCTTCGTCATTTTCACTCACAACTTAACAACTTTTTGTGCGAGCCAACTGCAAATGCATGGGTTTGCGATGTCAGTGTGCGGCCAGTATTTTAACCCTGCATATATCGGAACGAAAGATATCCATTTGAGTGCCCCAATACGCGTTTAATTGAAAATCAAATCTGCATCTGGTGCACCCTTTTGATGTCGGAATTTTGGCTTGCTCGGGCGTTGATAATGGTTCTGCGACAAGCTGCGTTGTGATTGCATCAAAGATTCCTATTTTCAAAAGAAAATCTGAATAATTCTATATTCATTACACTTTATTTACACACGCATACCTGATAGTCCTCTTCTTCTATACGTTCGGTTATGTTTAGCGTTAAACGCTTTACCTTTTCCTTCTCTTCTCGTGTCTTCTCTTCCTGCAGCTTCAGGTTAATGGCCAATTGCGAATCGGATGGTGCCACAAATTGTTTAAATTGTTGTTTGCCTCCCTTTCCACCACGTACCATCAGCACAAATGGCACTGCACCGCCAGCAGCATTGGCAGTGGTACTTTTTGCTGCCTCTTTTTCGCTACACGACTGATTGCCACTCGGAGTAGTAATTTGCTCATAGGATTTCTTACTCGTTCTAGCCATCATTGGTACCGGTATGTCTTTCGTATTTGGTTTAACAGTTTCTTTGATGCGCTCCTGATAACTGTCTGCTGCCATTTTTT